CAGTGTGTGGAACATGAAAACGATTGATCAACCAGTCATCAAAACATTGACTAACGGACAGGAAGCTGATATAGCCTCCTGACCGTTGACAGGTTGTGTTCTGGTTAAAGAGCAGAACCCACTAGAGTGTATTACAACAACCAGTGCTTTAAGCACATCGTTTGACATATACCGCAATATACCCTCCTGCAATTTCACTTTCGCTATTTGGTTTTTACTTATTGTCTTATTAGTAACGTGTACATACTAAGCCATTAAAAAAGAAATGTACCTCACTTTAATTGTAATCATTTAAATGTCCCCGTTGAGGGACAAATAATGTATTTCTGATTCTGATTCTGATGTAAACATACAAAGAGTCATCATTTAAGCACACAAAGGTCCCATAGACAGTGGAGGGAAACAGGTGGAACACACTCAGAATGACCTTGCAGTGACTCCTAACAGTAGGGCGAGAATAAGTTAAATTCCACCAAACTGGTGGTCATAAGAACGCTGCTATTAATAATCTTTACACATAGCATTGGCCTGTACTTCCATTTTAATGTGTGTTCACAGTGACAACTACTGTAACTAGGACGGTACAGGCTTTGTAACATTTTCCTTTTCACTAAACAACAAGATCTGAAATATAATTTTTTACAAAGCAAAATGAGATCAACTATTTCTTCTCATTTCATGCTGCTCCTGATCGGACAGAGAGGCCATCTCCATTAAAACACAATTTAAAACGTGCTAAGAGATCTGAAATGAATGACTATAAAATAATATAATTCAGTCGTTTTTGTCTTTTTGGAAGGGTGTTTATAGAGAAAGAATGACAAAGCACATAAGGGCTCCATGGTTAAAGTGCTCTTTGAAGGAGCTCTTAACAAACCTGAGTAGCGACACAGTTCTACTGTGAGAGATGATTCCTGCCCAACAAACAAACACACATTAATGTCCCGATGTTGATGGGGAGCTCACCGTCTGATTGGGTGGTGACGCTGACCGTCTCCGGGGAGGTGCCTGGTCCATAGCGGTTGATTGCCAGAACTCGAACTGTGTACTCTGTGAACTTATTGAGTCCCTCCATCTTGTAGTTGAGTCCGTTCACCTCCACACTCTGAACACAAACACAGGACAGTTACACATTGGAATGTTCATTGAGTTTAACGGTTTAGCAAACTCCACAAAGCAACAGGAAGTAGTACAGCAGTGATGGTACTGACAGGAAGTAGTGCAGCAGTAAGGGTACTGACAGGAAGTAGAGCAGCAGTGATGGTTCTTTCAGGAAGTAGTACAGCAGTGATGGTTCTTTCAGGAAGTAGAGCAGCAGTGATGGTACTGACAGGAAGTAGAGCAAACTGACCTGCTCCTTGCTGGACGGCCTCTCGGTCCACAGCAGTCTGTAGCTCAGCACGGGGCCGTTGGGTTGGCTGGGCGGCTCCCAGCTCACCTGGACGGAGGAGGGAGACAGAGCCTCCGCCTGGAGAGACTCCACCCGGCTGGGAACCTGGACTGTACACACACACAAAGACAACACACCTTTCACACACCAGCAACACTATAACATCTTCCACTGCTACATATGCTGCCACCAATGCAGTTAATTCAGACATCTTACTTTGCTGATAGATGGTTGTATAGAAATGAGGTATGACGTTACACCTATTTCATTTAGATTATGGTTTAGTTTATTCTGTCATAACATTCGGAATAACCCTTTGACAAAGGTTATTCAATTGATTCACAAGAGGAATTATAATACAAATATGAAAAAGATAATATAAAAAAGCTACAACAAACATTTATAATATTTATTTTAACGAGAGCGCTCTACACTTTTGTGATTTAAAAAATAAACTATAATTCTGAAAAATGACCATATTTACTATGGATATTACATCCAAAATTACCAGTTGTATTTCCTTCAAGCATAAGACACTTTAAGATGCATGGTCAACATTCAAAAACACTGGAAACTTCACTGCACTTCATAAGTTTTCTTTTTCAATCTACAAAGAAAAGCCACAGAATATAACAGCGCTACAGTCTGTGTGTGAAGTTAGTCAGGAAGCCCTTTAGGAGAGGGCTCCTTAATGAGTTGTTTGTAGCCCATTAGCCTAGGTTAGCCCTGAATGTGTTGAACCCAATTAAAAGTGCATGAGCTTCTGATGACTGTGTGTGTGTGTGTGTGTGTGTGTGTGTGTGTGTGTGTGTGTGTGTGTGTATGTGGGTGTGTGTGTGTGTGTGGGTGTGTGTGTGTGTGTGCATGTGTGTGTGTGTGTGTGTGTGTGTGTGTCGTACGGTCAGGTTTGGTGCTGATGCTCAGGGGGGCGGAGCTCTGTCCCGGCCCCATGTCGTTGTATGCGATGACTCTGAAGGTGTAGCTCTCCTCAGGCCTCAGGTTGGAGACGGTCAGCTCCAGAGACTCCGGCTCCGACACATTCACTGAGCGCTCCCTGAGAAGGAAAACACAACGTCATACACTGAACGCCTAAATGATGGAACGAGCTCCCCGTTGATATCAGGACATCAGAGAGTCCACACTCCGTCGCAGACTGAAACTCAGGACTGCATCTTAAGCCCCTGACACACCAACCCGATTTTGGGAGTCAGAGGCCGTCAGAGGCAGTCGGGCATTCGCGGCGCCCTACTCAGGTTGGTGTGTCCCGCACGTCGTCTCTTTACGGCACATTTTCACACCTCCCGCGGCCGATTCAAAGACAGTCGGCCAAAGAAAGTCGGCCAAAGAAATCACTCTGATTGGCTGTTCAGCTTAGCGAATCAGTGCATGAGAAGCGTAGTGGAAGTGAGGGACCAAAACAAACGATTAAGAAGGCACACACAGACAGACAGAGCTACTGTCTACCACTGTTCATTGTTCATTTACCTATTGTGAGCATCACATGGAAATGTACATTTTGCAAGAAGTGGCCATTATTCAGATGGGTGTTTCTGTCTGCCCCTCTATTCTTTCTCCCATTATCCTCCACAATCTGCCTAGAAGTATTTTAACGTTGTAGCTGTTCAAGATGGTAATTTTAAAATGTGTTAAACATATACTGTTAGTAGTTAAACCAATAATAATGTACGGCTGCAACTGACAGTTATGTAGGCACATTTTTTATTTGTTATTAACGCTGTGTGATTAAAAGAATAAACACAAATAGCAGGATAGGCAATACAAAACTTTATTTCGTACCTTGATACTACAGCCATTGATAACACAGCATTAGACATATTTGGCAAACTCTTTTTTTTTTATTGTATTACACACTATTTTTATCGTATTGTATTTTTGTCGATTGTTTACATTGTACAGTTCTTTAGACATATTTGCTATATCTTATCCCACTGAAAAGGCACTGCACCGTTAAAATATTGGCATAGTTCATCCCTGTGCTGCTTGGCTCAAGCTGGAATATTGGTGCCGTGTGGCAGGGTGGCCTGCCGTAGTTCAGGGTCTTGTCTCCATCTTTCTGGGACAGCTCTCGACACAGGTTCGGGAAAGCCCCCTGAGCTTCTCGCTGTAGCATGTTTTCACCCATTTAGTGCGGTTTCTCCTGATTTTTCGCTTCCGCTTCTTAATCTCTGCAGCCGCAAGCAACACTCCAATTGCTGATAACGCCAGTACGATACATGTTTTCGATCGACGAGAGAGAGTGAAAATGGAACCCAGACGCTATTTGTTGTTCGTTTATATCACGCAGTCTGTTCTTCTTCTCTCGGTGTATAGTCTGTCTTCCGGTTGTTGCCTCTTTTGAATGATGAATACACACTACCGCTGCCTGCTGGTAAGGACAGTTATTGCCACTCGTCGACTGAAGTCTTTGCGGTGTGTTCGTAGGCGGGCGGCGTAGCCGACGCAGGCGACGTAGCAGACGTAAAAGTCGGGACGCCTTCGGTACGCGTTCTTTGGTCTCAGGTTGGTGTGTAGCGGCCTTTAGAAATATCTTCTGTACGTAGCACAGGGATTTGGCTCCAAGTGAAGCTAATGCAAGAGCACTTGATCTGGTTGGGTTCTTAGATAGAGAATATACCTGCAGGATTCTTGCTTTTGAGTTTGTTTCTTCATGGTCGAATGCACTTATTGTAAGTAGCTTTGGAAAAATGAAATGTAATGTAATAACTAGCAAATCTTCTTATTCACAGATTACTCATTTCAATTATGTATTTATTTGAATTAAAGCTCATTATAAAAATCTAATAGCGCGACATAGTAGAGATAATCTACTATGACTGCAGCTGATCCTCAGATTATAGCACCTCTGCAGCTTCATTACTCAGCCAATCACAAACCAGCTGCAAAGATTAGCATGTTTGGCTGCAGCATTAAATACACACAGCTGCCTTTTCTTCTCATTTACAATTTTAGGCATACCTACCATAAGCAGTGCACAGTGATTTGTGTATATCGCACAGAATCAATGTGTAAGTATTCCCTGTAATTGTGAAGCATGCATTTTACTGTGCCAGGAACGCTGTAGGGAGATGGGTGGGTGCATAAACACAGGACAACCTTCGTTTCCTTATCTTAGCCACATGTTTTTGTTGCCTAAAAAAACCCAAGTTAAGATGGAATTTTATTTTGAAAAAGTTAAAAGTTGTTAAACTTTCATTTTTAACCGGTCACTTAAAGGTCACCTATTATGCAACATGCAATGAAGTAATATGGTCTGTGTTTACATTAGCAGGCATCGCTAACACTCAGAGCTAACGCTGTACTGGAGAGAGTATGTGTAAAGAAGCAGGAAATATAAGGTACTGTCCTTGTGGTAAACCCGTGAGAGAGAAAGTGTTTCAGCTCCATACTGTTTCAGAAATAATGCTTGATGTGGTTTGGAACATAATATGGCGTTTAATCACGGCAGCGTTTAGCTGAGTTTCTGCTGGTAGACAGCCTTCTCTTCACAGAGATCACTGCTTGCATGGGGACGCTCCAAAGGGGCGTGGCCAGCAGCAGCTCCAAAGGGTCGTGGCCAGCAGCAGCTCCAAAGGGGCGTGGCCAGCAGCAGCTCGGTTACATTTAAAGGGCCAGACCCAGAATCAGCCCTTTAGTAACACGGCTGAAATAGAGGGATATGAGGCATGCTACAATGGGTGATCTGTTTGGTATTTTGAGCAAAACACTTCAGAGTCATGTTTTGTATAGATGCCCTATAATATATTGTTCAAATATAGCATAATAGGTGAGCTTTGAGTATTATATTTTAGAAGTTTACACCATAATAATTGTATAAATACATTGTTGTAATGAGAGAAGTTTAAAACACTGTTAAAAGTGTGAACCATTTCTCAAAAGTGAAAGTGTCATCCTCTCCTGCTTTAAGGTAAGGTTTCACGACTGCCACACACACTTAGGTAGGGCCACATCTCATGACATAAACAAGAATCCTACGGGAACCTAACGGATTAAGTTAGTCTTCTGCCTTAAACAGCAGTTAATTGAACCTGGATCTACAGGATTTAGTAGAGGTAAGACCTTGCCGATCCCGGTGTCTCCGAGCCTGGCGGTAAACTTGCATAGACTCAATCGCTTCTGATAGGTCAATTAGTAGGTCTGAATAATAGCCAGAGATGAATACAGGCCCGCTGACTCAGCATAGTCATTTTAGGGACATTTTGTGAAGAGGTGACCACATCCTCTGCGGACTGTAAATGTCCACTGCAAATTGCATGCCAGTTTAGTTATCAGAATATGCGTCTATGGACAGAGAACGGCAAAGATGAAGAACAGTCTAAACTCTAAAGGTTCTTAGGGCTTGTGATTCTCCTCTGAGCTGCTCAGTAAAAAGGCAGCGAGCTGAGCTGGAGCCGGTCAGTGTGAGTCCCGTGGTGGCGTCTCTCTGCCCTGCAGAGGCCACAGTCTGAGGTCGCAGTCTGAGGTCACAGTCTGAGGTCACAGTCTGAGGTCACAGTCTGAGGTCACAGTCTGAGGTCGCAGTCTGAGGTCGCAGTCTGAGGTCACAGTCTGAGGTCACAATCTGAGGTCACAGTCTGAGGTCACAGTCTGAGGTCACAGTCTGAGGTCACAGTCTGAGGTCACAGTCTGAGAGCACAGTCTGAGGTCACAGTCTGAGGTCACAGTCTGAGGTCACAATCTGAGGTCACAGTCTGAGAGCACAGTCTGAGGTCACAATCTGAGGTCACAGTCTGAGGTCACAGTCTGAGGTCACAGTCTGAGATCACAGTCTGAGGTCACAGTCTGAGATCACAGTCTGAGGTCACAGTCTGAGGTCACAGTCTGAGGCCACAGACTGTGACTTCTGACTGTGGCCACAGACTGTGACCTCAGACTGTGGCCTCAGACTATGACCTCTGACTGTGGCCACAGTCTGAGGTCACAGTCTGAGGCCAAAGTCAGAGGTCACAGTCAGAGGTCACAGTCAGAGGTCACAGTCTGAGGTCACAGTCTGAGGTCATTCAGCACCAATAACACACTCAGTCAGAGACAGTTCTTCTCTGCTTCCATTTTCATTACTCCTTCCTGTTCTGCTGACTTTTACTTTAGCAGAGCCTCACTCGCCTTGTTGTCTAGGGATCCACAGATTCAACTAAATGTAACTATAGAAATATATTTATATAAAACAAATAAGCTTAAAGTTTTTGGTTCAGCTGAAATATCAACTCTGTGGCAACAGGAAGCCAAAACACCTTATGAAATTCATCACAAAACTAAAGGAATTATAAACATAATTATTTGGTTGTCATAACGTTGATGATCTCTTAATTGTTCTTCTATCAGCTCAACACTTCAGAGTGTGCAATATTATGGGTTATGAACCAAAACTAATGACATTCCCATCAGCCCCAGCTGCACTTGTGTGAAGTGCTATTCAGCTAATATCAGAATGCATTAAAGGTACCACTGAGTGGAGGGACAGTGTTTATCTATACAACATTACAACATGTTGTCTTCTTTAACTCATCTGCTTCCAATATCTGATGTGGTGTAAATGCACTGTGCCAGAGAGCCAGCTGCTGTGTGAAGTTAACAATAATCTCATGTTGTTGTCTTGCACTTTGTGTTGCCAAGCAGCTGTTGCCATGTGTGATGTTGTTATTGTGTTTCTCAAAACCTATTTTTATAACTTTTTCATAAAAACTGGCCTGGGCTAGGTTGAAATGACATGCAACATGATGGCATCTATGAGAACATTTAAATATTGTCAGAATAATAGCAGGATGATAAACCAGGCTCAGCACTGTGAATAAAGTGAGCTCCATCTGGAGGTCACTCTAATGCTTCATGCTTCATTTCTTTTTCCATTTTTCTCTCTTGATGTTATTTTCAATATACTTCCTGAAAGTCATTACAACTGACAAAGAAATCTCATCTGGACTCTCCCTTCCTGCCATCTCCCTTTTCTTTCATTGTTTTCCCTCCAAATTGCTCTCCCTCCCTCATCTTATTTTTTCAGCAAGTTATTAGAGCTGAAAATTCTCTGTCTTTTTAGGA